TGATCGGATTTTCTGATATCCTCAGTGCTGCCTTTGAAAATGACAAGAAAAATTATTTTGTAAGAACAAACTAATGTTGCAAACCCTTTTGCACAAAGTCTCAGCCTGATATTAAGTGTAAGTACAATTTCAGCCCCAAGCGTGTGTAGCTACACTCGGAGACAGCAGAGCCTCATGCTGTTTGCCAAGCTGTGGGAGACCTAGAGCTCTGTTATATCTCTTCTGTTAGTTAATTTTGGGAAACTCGAGGCTTTGTGTAACAGGGTTCTGTCTAATTGTGAAGCATAAATTCAGTGTAAGAGTTCAATATTAGACATTTATGAAAGCAGTTCCTTTTTATAATTGCTCTCTCTCTGTTAACTTTAGGTTATTAAAGATAATCTGTGGCTTCAAAGAGACACAGGATGTCTGGGAATGACAGGTATGTAACTGTTTTCTCTCTCTTTTCAACACTGTGTGGTACCAGGACCCCCAGGGCATGGATGTACAGGTGGGCAGGGGACTAGAGCTGTGGCCCGGTTTTACCTGCTCTCTGATTTGGAAAAGAGAGGAAGAGGAGGGAGAAGAAATGAAACAGTCTGATTCAAGAGGCATCCCATCAGGGCTATTACCTGAGATGTGGTCCCAACTAACATCATCTGAATGGTTCCCAGAGTAGTACTGGGCCTTGCTCCACCCTCTCAGCTTGCAAGAGAAGCTAGAGCTAGGGCTTGACCACCCATGCCTGGCCATGGGCACGTGCCTTCAGCGCTGTAGGACCCAGATGACATTGGTATTCCTGCCTGGGAGTGCAGCCCTGTGCCTGTGGTAGGGATGGATTGGGTAGCATGCGTGGTGTCCCATTGTTGTCAGTGAGACTCTTGATCCTGGGCCACAGGGAAGAGCTTGCTCATAAGTTAGGAACAAGGGTGCTCTAGGCTCCCTAAATAGCACATTTAGAGAGGAGCTGCTGTGAGAAGACCTTAGTTCGTACCCTGTTCTGAATCATTTTCAGCAAGAGCCCAGTTCGTCATTAGTCATAACGGCATAGTACGGGGAGCACCCTCTGATGCTCAGCGTTCTGTGTTGTGGAAAACCCGTGTTACTTAAAGCTGATCAAGACCTTGTTTCTTTTCAGAAGCTGAAGTAACCTCTATGCATTTACTAACACTGTTGCAATACACATTCTTGAAGCTATTTTCAGAGACCTCTGCAGTTAGAGTAACTAAGATACTTTGTCCTGGACCAAGAAATAGGGGGTCTGGAAGTGCTGCTGGGATGCTAATACTCTTTCCAGTGGGTATCAAGCATACTTGATTCACTGAGCATCTCCAGCAGTAGTTGCCTAATCTGGTTGAAATAGGGTACCCCAGTACTTAGAGAAGTCACAGCTTGGAGGAGCTGTGTCTGAGCACTGACTGCCACAGGTTCTTTGTGTACATTTGAATAAATCACTTCGTTTCTCTGAGTCTCTGGGCTTTATTTTCTTTATATGTGTATAATAAATAGAGTGCCACCTGACACAAGATTAACAGGGGCAATGCAGTGTCTGAAATAGACCTCCCCCCCCAGCTGCGGTTCCCCAAGAGATGATTTCATGACATGCATTTGCCAGGAAATTACAGGCTCTGAAGAAGTCATCTAGCAAGATGCTTCTGATTTCTTTGCCCTGTGCCATGGCTAATTCACAAATGAGTTTATTAATTTAAATACGAAGGCAAATAATTCAGATTTGCTGAGCTTCCTTGTTTTTTCCTGTATTTATTCAATGTAGACTTAGCTGCTCACATCTTGCTTTCAGATAGGTTGCAAATTATTAACGTACCATCCACTGAGAGAGGAAATACATGCAGTTATGTAGTTCAGAAAAACCTTCTGGTGCTAAAGAAAAATGTGGGGTGGTTGAAGGATTTTGACATGAAATATCTCTCTGTTAGGGGTTGAATCTCTGCTATTTTGTTAGCATGTAGGTATGTGTTAAGTGAGGGGCTGCTGTAAGCATTGAATTTCATGCTTGGTTTTATAACTGAGAATTGTCCCATTATAATAAACATGATTTTTAACATGTTTAAAGCTAAGTTGTTAGTGGTTTGCTTAATCAAGATGTTAGATGCTTGATTTTTTACTGAAGAATTTCTCAATGAAAGCAGTGAGAGGGAACTTCTGCATAAAACCTTTGTCATTGGCAGTGTGATAAACTGAAACAGTTTGTGGCAGCACAGTGATCTCAGAGTTGCTCTTGGAAACTTTTCCAAGTAATTTCTGGATGATAAAAAGCAATCCCAGAATAGCCCTGTGATTGGGGAACACAGGATTTTTGAAAGTTATGTTCACGTCTGCTCTGACTTACTCAAAATAGGTCTGGAAAGTAGATTGTTTTGTCTTGTTGATGCCCCTAGTTTCTTCGACTTTGTGACAAGAAAAGCTAATGGCAACATTCAAAACTGAAATACAGCAAATTGCTACCTTTGCCTGTTCATTGTTGTGTGTAATTGAAAGGACTTTAAATTGAATCTTGTATCCAGGATGGTTTTCAGGACAGGGAATAATTCAAACAACAACAACAATACAGTAAGCAAGTATATTTAACTCTTTTCTTCCCCACTGAAATAAAGCAAGATTATTCAAAACGTTGCTGATAAGTTTGGGGGGAAAAGCAAATCTTTGTGGAACTTGAAATATGCAGCCCTTGAGAGCTAAGAATTGGAATGGCTATCTTAGTTAAATTGCTTTTTTTCCTCCCGGCGCCAGGTAGTTTGTAATTCTGAGCTTGACATTTCACAAACTTGTCAATTCCACATTCCTACTGTAATTTGGCATGTGAGGTTGTGTTGTAAAGGTACAGGAGCCTTAAGGACATACTAGAGTCTTTGCTGCAAACCTGTTGCAAGACTATTTTAATTTTATGCATCCCATTTAATTGCCATGGCCAAGAATAATCTTCACCTTAATCTCTAGCAAGAGCAAGTAAGGCACTGTAGCATTACACCTACCCTTCTAACGGCAGTCTCTGTGCCACTAACGTGTTCAGCCCGTTTAGTCCAGTGGTAAAGGCTTTAGCACTGAAGGTCTGTGTTGTTACTCAAAACTAACTTCTTAGCAAAGGACAGTATGCAGATCACAGAGGACAGTTTCTTTTCTTAGACACCCATCCCTCCACCCCAGCCCATATGAACACAGACCTACTGTTGCCACAGTCTCCACGTTAGGTGCATTTTGTACTAGGACGGATCCTCTCTGTATTTGCACACCCTGAGCAGCAAAGTAAATGCAGCGAGAGCTGAGAGCAGTGAGCTCTCCTTCTGAAGTGTATTGCGTGTGCCTTGAGAACATGGTCTAGTGGGTATGGTAGTGTTGGGTTGATGGATGGACTACGTGATGTTATAGGTCATTTCCAACCTTAGTGATTCTGTCATTCTGCCTTGACTGTGGCTGCTGGAGGTCCAAAAGAACAAAAGATCACTATGCGAAGCTGAGGAGTGGCAAATGACTACCTGGGGAATGAAAATTAACACCGTTAAATAGCAGAAACTGTTTGATCAACTGTGCATTTATCACCTCTTAGTCTTGTGGACTGCGCATATGTGGGACTGAGTGAATGCTATGGTAATGTGAATGGTAAAATATTACACTGATCTTCCAACTGTTTCAGCTATATTAATATTTACTTTCATGTTTTCATTTTGTAATTCAATAAAAAGTCAACCTACCAGCACTTGTAATTAGCTAGGAATATACAGTTTAAGACAGAGATCGGCCTATCTGTTTATATTGGGTTTATGGAGGATGAAATCATAGGAAAACATTTTAGTAATGTGCTGATTAAAAGTAAGATAAAATATTTAACAACTTGATAAGCACATTGTAAAAATGTGGATAGTTGAAGGAAATGAAGGAAAAGATAATGAAGGAAAACAAAATTTTGTCTTGAAGGTGGTGATAGTGCCTCACATCTCAAAAGAAAGTGAAATTACTGCCTTTCTTTGATGAACTGTTTCACTTGGCATCTTTGGAGATGTTTGCTGGAAAGCCCCAGATTAAGGCTTCCGCAGGTTTGCCTCCTGGGAAATGTTTTGGCCTGAGGCGTTGTACTCGGGAAGTGCTTTGTGGCCGCCTGGCAAGCCCAGCTGTGGGGGGCGCTCTTGGGGCTGTGTGTAAAGCTGAAACTGTTCCCCTGCTTTGCGAAGTTTTCCTGTCGAAAAAGGGGGGGGGAATAGTTTCCATTTAGAAACTAATGGAAGTGAAGACCATGTAGCTCTGATAATGACTTTTCTGAAAACAGCCAGAAAAATGCCAAAGGTTGGAGCTGTAAGAAGAAAAGGAGCAAGGAAGGGGCAGAGCCGGTGTCAGCATTGGGATGCACTTCTGGAGGGGCTCTGACAATGGTGCGCTTGCACTTCTGTGCAGTGGGATATCGAAAAGAAACCTTGTTAGCGAAAGGTCTCAGGAGTCAAGTATTATTATTTTCCAACCTCAGATGAAACTGTTTGTTAAAAAAAAGCAATTTCAGAACAGAAGTTAGAATAGGCGTGAAAATTACTGAATGTGTTATGCCTGTACTGTCCTTTCTCAGATACTCAGCGTCCAGCTTTTCAAGCAGTCATCAGCCATCTACAACCCATCTAGGACCTTATCTGAAAAGAGACAGCAGGGGAATTGATAAATACAATTACGTTGTCTTGATGTTAAGAGTATGCAGCAAGTTATGTGGAAAAGCAGTTACAGTCTTGTAGGTCAGCTGGACTGAGCTGTATAATGTTCTAGTGACAGTTAAGTGTATGTGGATCAGGAAAAAGTTACTTAACTGACAGTCGATACGACAAAAAATAATGAGACAGAAAAGTGCCGCTTTACTGGCAAGGGAAACCGGAATATTATAAAACAGCCTATATTGTTAAAAATTAATAGAAAGGATGAGAAGAAATCTGGAGGAAGGCAGATGTTGCTGTATGGACATGCATCACACTGAATCAATCTGTTTAAGCAAAACCTTCTACTGAGTGCTGTGAAGATACAGGTGAATTTGCAGAAGTATCCTTGTAATCATCATCAGTGTTGAGGCTGCTTATCGTAATGTCAAGAACCTGCAAATTCCCCAGCCTCCAATTACCAATGATGGAGCAGCCAAATAACATGCCTGGAAAACTTCTGCTGGGAGCTGGACACATTATCTTGGGATTGTAAGTGATGACAAAGCACAACTTGAAAACAGACTCATCTGTGTAATTAGTAATCTAGAGATTTATTCAGAGTTGAAGAACATGATCAGTTAATTAAATTGGTTATTGTGGACATGATAGTCTCCAGAGGGGAGTATCAGGATTTGCTGTCACACAAGAAGTGCAGTTGGGTGTGCTGATGGAGATGTCATGCTGCTTAGGGCACAAGAACAAAAGATATTTTATGAAGCAATTACCCCCTTCTTGTTGGCTGACCTCACTCATCCAAAATACAGAAGGAAATAATCTGCTAAACAAGAAGCACTTTCAAGGCAGTAGTTGCTCAAACCAGCCCATACATGTTGCCATTTTGACTTCTGATTCTTACCAAGCCCTAGAAAGAAGCTCCATGTCTCCAATAAGGGTTTCTGTTTGCTATAAAGGAAAGTGCATCTCCTGTAGTCTGGCAAGAAAATAAAAAGGAGAATTGGTGCTCCACCTCCATAGGAATTGGTTGGCAAGTGCGTTAATATATGAGACACAGCAAATGCAAAATTATCTTTTTCAATGATTGATATATCTATACAAAACCATGAAGAGGCTTTATTCAGTAGTCAGAACATAGGTTTAGAGCCATTGGAGGTGGGATGTAGTATGATACTTGGACCTGCAGGGTAGTGCCGTGGCCGGGTGGGCTCAGACTGGTAGCTAGCAGGTCTGTACTGCACTTACAGTTCAGCACTGGTGTCATCTTGAGGGATTTGGGCTGTTGCTTAGTCTTGAAACGGAAATATGTCAGGCATGACTACCTTGAAAAAATTCCAACACCAAAGATATGCAGACATTTGGTATTGTAATTATACATATTGCTGTTCTCACCAAGTTTATCTTGGTATTTTTACAGTCCCTAAATCAGTCTGAGTCTGTTGCATTGTTTAACAGTGGTTTAAGTATTTAAGTAAAATTTAGAGAAGTGAATTAAAACTCATCGTAAAATATAAATAACTAGCTTTTCCTGGGCTATATATCAACAATTTTCAATACAAACCACTCCCTCACAGATAAAAAGCATGCTGTTCCAGCATGGGAAGACAGTAAAGCTCCCCAAGGTGCACAGGTCCATCAGGATTCTGTAAGCATCTCATTCATTATGTTAACACAAATCTTGTTGATTTGTGTGCATCAGTGCTTCAACACCCTTTATAGAATGTCCTTTTAAGGGTCCAATTTGGAATGCTGCATGCATGTCTCTTCTATTTACAGCTAACAGTGTTTCTCTGTGTTGTTCTTCCAACAAAGCAGTATCTTTTTAAAAAAATGCTGGTTCTCAACATTAATGAGATTTTAGTATCTTCAGCTTTTCATATTTCATTAACATATAATAGGTTTTATTAAAATGAAAACCTTACAGAAAAAGGCCATGTGCCAAAAGTCTTTGCTTTTCAGTGAGAGTTTTTGTTCGTATGAATATATATTGCTAATGATTAAAATACGTGATTTAAAAATAAATAATAAATGAGAACTATTTTTCAAAGAATGAAAAAAAATCTTCTTTAAACATAGACAGCCAACTATAATTTTGAAAATTTCATGGCATTTTTTCTCTTCATTCAGCAATACCTTTTGACAGTTTAGTATACTAAATTATTGTTTTGTAGTATCAGCTCCTTGTATTAATATCATAGGTGCTTTTACTTTTGTAGATGAAAGTGATGTTACGTTTTCAGAACTATTCTTGCAGTTTTGTGTGATACCATGGATTAATCTTTCATAAAAATGGAAGTATAAGCTAGCATTTATATTGCTAATTATTAAATTGAGGAACATTTGATTTGATGGCACTCCAATTCAGTTGAAATGTAATTGAGACCCTTACTCCACTGAGAAGTATTTTTTGAAAATACTATTGGATGATTTAAGGCTTTAATTCATGCATGAGATGCTTTATGTTTAAATGGCAAGAAGATTTTTGTGGGGTATATGTGAGTTCCCTAGGTAGGAAGCAGCTTTGTTCTAACTCCTGCTGGGTTCTGTGGGGCAAATCCCATCTCTGTTTCCTGTCAGGTCTCATGTCTCTGTTACCCATATTGATTGCTTTGAGGGAGAGTGTGCTGGTTGCTGTGTGCACACAGAGTACCGTGTACCGCGAGTCCCATCCCTGGCTGGAATCTGCACCAAGTGGCTGCTTTAGAGGAACCCAGCTGCAGCTCTAATGCACAGTGTTCCCTTCTTTTTCAGGAATTCTCTTACCTCCGGTCATCCAAGCAACTGAAGCCCCTCACCGCCTCTTGACTTCTGCAGCTTCCGACAGTCAGTGGAGCCATTCGGTGTTTGGTTTGGTACCCTCATGGACAAAGAAAATTTTGTTCAAACGAGAGTCTTCTGTTAATCACCAGCTGGTCAGTAAAAGATGGTTTGCCACTTCTAATATCTGTAAGGATTCTAGCAATTATATGTTGTGGTTTAGCCTGAGTCAGCAACTGAGCACCATACAGCTGCTTGCTCACTTTTCCCCCTCTCCCTCAGTGGGATGGGGGAGAGAATTGGAGGAAAAAGATAAGAGAACTTGTCAGTTGAGATAAGAACAGTTTAATAATTGAAAATAAATGAAATAAAATAATGATGCTACTACTATTAATATCTAATGAATATACTATTACTAATAATGATAATAATATGTAATGGAAAAAAAGGAGTTAAAAGGGAAAAAAAAATTATACAACTGCTCACCACTGACTGACCAATTCCCAGCCAGTTCCTGAGCAGCAGTTGTCCCCCCTGGCCAACTTGCCTAGCTTATATACCAAGCATGTTATTTTATGGCGTGAAATGTCCCTTTGCTCAGTCTGGGTCAGCTGTCCTGGCTGTGTCCTCTACCAGCTTCTTGTAGAGAAGAAGCTGGAAACACAGGGGCAGTATGAGAAACCGGAAAAGTCCTTGGCTTAATATAAACATTGCTTGGAAACAACCAAAACCATCAGTGTGTTACCAATACCATTCTCAGCACAAATCCCAAACACAGCCTCATACTAGCTTCTGTGAGGAAGATGAATTCTATCCCAACTAAAACAAGCACATTGTATCAAAACTGAATGTTGCTGGGAATTTACTATGCAATTAGTATATTTTTAATTCTGTCTCACTTATTATGTTCTCACTTATGTTCACTTGAGATGGCTTCAGCAACACCAAGTTGTGAGACTTTCAAAGAATTGTTGTGACAGATACAGCTATGTGGTTGCTGTGTAAATTTTGATACACCATAATGAAACGCATCCATAGACTCTGATAAACTTGGTACATAGTGTATTTTGCTAGGGAAATGTGAAAGCCAAAAGATGAATATGTCAATTAAGATACTAATAGTTGCTTGTGGGAATAACTGTTGGGATAACAAAGCTCTTAAGCTTGAAGGCGATTAATATATATTTTTTTTTCTTGTTTCATTATTTACATGATTTAACTTGTGCTGCAGTTTGTGAGTTATGGTATTTTCATACACTATGTAGACTTTCCCTCTTTTTCCATAGCCTGAAGATGTGTCCGATATGTCAGTGTCTTCTGGATTTGGAATAACCCTACAGAAATGTGGTGTGGTAAGTTTTGTACTCTAATGTCCTTTAAGAAGTGGAAACAGAGTTGTGCCCAGGCTGAGTGTTTGGGAGAATGTCCATTTGGATGTTAAGATGGTCGCACCCTCTGTAAGAAGGAGGCAGTTTTGCAGCGTTGATTAAAAACTGAAGGAAGTAAATGAAATCTTTTCCTCAGACTTCAGGGGTTTTTGGATTGTGGTCAGATTAAATACCTTAGTGTGAATTTGTAAAACTGTAAATGGGCAAAGCCCCGTGTACTCTAGAAATCAGCAGTAAGGCTGGGTAGAGATGGAGACAAACTGCTTTACTGGATGAGATAAGCCTTCTGAAATACTCTCCTGGCTCAGCCATGTCAAGTATGGACTCTTTTCGAAGGGTGGGGCACTGAGCCCTGCGATGCCCACTGTGTCTTTGGGCATCCTATCACATAGCCCTGGAAGAGCCAGCGTGCTATAGTCTGCATGCATATTCAGTGGGACTCAGCTACAGCACAGTATTTAGTGGAAAAAAAGGTTTCATTTGGCATGTAAAATGCTTAGGAGGAGCCATCCTCCCTACTATAAGGAAATTTTAAACCTTCCATTTTGTTTTTACTTCATGTGGCATAGGTTGATAGGTTGACCTAGACTATTATTTTTACTTCTCACCCCCACCCCTGGCTTTTGATTTTTTACCCTGGATGAAGCAAGTCTGAATTTTTATAATTAGGGACAGTTCATCTTACCTCTCCCTTGGAAAGAGAAAGTGCATCTCACTTCAAGATGAATATGAGTTCAGCCACTGAAATGCTGCATATGAGGGTAGAGTGTTCAGTAACCAGTACGGAAGAGGTGACATTATGACCTGCACCAGATCATTTGCATAGAGAATAATGAATATACATTACATCTCATGGCACTAGTTACGTATAATGTTGTTATTGAAATGGCTGTATATCATAATTAATGAGGCTGAAGAGTGGACATTTCAGGCATAAGAAAGAGTAACACAGAGTCTTCTGCTCTTTCGGCTGCAGATTCCCAGTTTTTATATTGGAACTTCTCAGAAAGAGAGTTTGAGACAGTTACATGTTGGTCTTTTCTGCTATTCATAGCACAGCCTCACACAGGCTCATTAAAAAATGTGAAATCCTGCTGTACAAGATCAAAGTTAGTGTGTTGTAGATGCTAGGCTTATCTGAAAATAATTATGCAGTGCTATTAGTTGTAAATTACTGAAAACTACAGCAATTATATGTGATTGTCTTCTACCTTCAAATGCAGTTCACATTTTATTTTCCTTTGCTTACCTTGTCATCTACTTCAGTCCTAATTTGTCTGAACAGATGCTTTCCTGCTAAGAGGCAGACTGGCCATATGGTGGTCTTTAGCTGTTTTAAATGAGAAAAAAAGTGAATTTTGCACATTTTCCTTCTCCTACCATGAGTGGCTCCTCAGAGCACGGAGATAACATATGTTTACTTCGTACAGGCAGGGTTTTTCCAACACCTTATCAAAGGAACACCCTGATTGAAACTGGGGTGTTTACATTTTAGCTGTGCTTCCAGGGTCCAGTCCCTTCTTTCCAGAAACATGCTCCTTTTAAGAGCTTCATTCCATAGTATGATACGAACACATATGTGATAGTACTTCATAATGACAATAATCTTTGGCAGAGCTGAAATAAATCTTTAAATTTGACTGTTTGGTTTTTAAGACATTTACCTGCCTCATTTCTCAATCTCCTAAGCATTCTTGCATTTCAGATCATCTGTGACACAAACTTCCTTAATTTTTTTCATCCTTTCACATTCCTAGTTGTTCTAATTTATTCCTGAAGATACTTTTTTCCTTCCATGGCAATTTCTTCCACCTCTGGTCTCCTTGCATGTCCTTGCTCTTGCTGTGGTACTTTCATTTCACTCTTCGAGGTACCTGAAGTGACATTGCTTCAGCAGCAGAGAGGAAAATGGAATAAGCATTTACACATCATCAGTGGCTGCCATTGGGTTCACTTCCTCTAGGTGGTTGGCCATGTAGTCGTCTTCTTGAAAGGCAAGAAAAAAAATCTTCAGGCAAATAGAGGAGCAACTTAAAAGAGATAGCCAGTGGCAGCTGATCCCAATGATGTATGGGTTCTTTCTAGGAGAGGTGAAACCCAACAGCTTCCCTACTGCTGGATTCTCATCTCCTGCTTTCTCCAGTGCTATCAGGAAAAACACACGAATTCTCTGCACCCCTTTGCAGTTTAGCTTAAAACTGACTACCAGTCCAAAATAAAGAATGCAAAACATTTGTTTAATATTAATCAGAAATGCAGCAGATGTGGCCTTTTGGCCACCTGAGGAAGATTATGGTAGGAGATAGTACAGTTGGGATACCTCTGAAAAGTTGCGTTATTTAGTCACCGAATTAAGAATTTTGTTAAATGAAGCAAAATTAGAGAAAGCGCAGAATTGGTTGGAGAAAGAGAATGAACAGTGTGTGGGAGTGTACATTAAATTTTCTGCCTAGGGGGAGGAGAAGACTAATGCTGCCATATTCCCTCACCTGCCTGTGAATATACGCATGCTACTTTCTCTGCCTCTTTCTTTGTAGGAATTTATCTAAATTACTGTAAATTACTTGCCTTCTCCCCAAAAGTAAAGGAATATATTTGTGCCTGATTAGAAGCACAGGAAGAGAGTCTGAAATCCTCATTTTTTGCATTCATTTCACAGAAGAGAAAGGAAAGGTATAGGAAAATAAAGGGAGCAAATGTTTTCCTAATTTTCCCCTGCTCCCCAGCACCCTCTTTTGCTAGTGCATGCGTGTTTCTCTGCACAAGCCCATCCACGCTTACTGTGGAGCATTATTATACAGCTTGTGCAGCTTGAATCTTGAACCTTTCAAGGTGTGTTTTAATGTTTTGGTGATTGGGTCAGGGTCTCTGCTTTGTGGCTTTAGATTTTCTTTATGTGGCTATGAGGTGTTTTTTAAAGCATGTTTCTAGCCTTTGTGAGTGCACATGAAAGGTTGAAAGGGATGTTGCCTGCATCATGCCAGTTGAGAAACAAGGAGAGAGAAAATTTGCCCAAAACATATCACATTTTTAATATTTGGTGATTTTAAGTCTCAGAAATGTTGAGGTGAGATTGGTAATGCTTTCCTCACAAATATGATTATACCTATTTTTATATGTGATGACAATTATTTGCAGAATCTGGTAAAATGGATAGTTAGGATTTCTCCTCTTTAGGATTTGTTTAATACAATTGAGATTGAACTTGCTGCAATGAGTTCAGAAAATTTAATGCCGTATACCAAGGAGAGTTAGTTATATAAACAGATTTGAACTTTAATTATTGTCACTTAAATAGAATATTCTATACTGAACTAGTATGAAATGGAGTGGTCAGTGTTGCACAGTAAAATCATAGCTGCATATGTGGCTGTTGTGGCTGCCATGAACTCTGGTGCCATTTCTGAAATCTATCACAATTCATGATTTTAGAACTCGTTTCTGTGAGTGCTGCCTTATTATTTTTAGTTTGCTGGTGTCCAGACACAGAGTAGACATTTCTGAGAAAGGAGGAGGTAAAAAGGGAAAGACTCGGCCTCAATCATACTTTGGACAATTAAATAACTGCTAATTTGGTGTCATTATTAGAAGCTTGGTATACCATCATGGGTATACTACAGGCCAGTATATTATAGACCTGATAAAGTTTCAGGCAATTCTGGCTTAATGAGAGTTATAGGGGGAGACAATTTGGAGGTAAGCAACTTCATGCTTAAAATTTAGAGGGTATAATTACTCAATGAGAGTTAACGACCTAATGGAATAAATAAATAAAATCATGAGTGCGTGTTGTGAGGCATTGGTGATTAGCTTGTGAATTCACCACTAACTGGAAGCAAAGCCATGAACTTCATGTCTCTGTCACTCCATCAGCCCTCCCAGGGAAGGGTGAATTGATGCAGCTGGCACCCTTCAGAGAGTGGGGTTGCTGTGAAAAAAAAAGAAATAGAGATTAAAACTGCAGAGCGATAATGAATATGTAGTGAGGGCAGCTTGCAGAAGAAACATCCTTGTGGTACCGAAGTTCAAAGTTACGAATTTTCCAGACTCTGGTTATAAAGTTATGATGCGCTTCTGTGTTGTGTGAGGTATCATGGGGATATTCAGATCCTTGTTTTCACTTCTGGCTCTGCTTGAGCTGGGTTTCCAACTTTTGGCTTTCTGTCCCTTTGTCTCCAAGCAACAGCTTGACATCCTAAAGATTCTCCTTGGGAACTTGCGATCTAACTGGGTGTAGTGCCATTTGCAGGTTGCTCCAAATGCCTTCAGAAAATAAGTTTACACATATAATGAACTTTTACTAGTAAACAGGACTATGAATTTTGCTGTTATGATGCACATAGAGTCATTTTGTGCCATTACTATGACTATTAATATTTCTGTTTTCAGGTGGATGTTGAGCATGACCCTCAAACTGCATACATTAATCTTCTGATTAATAACACCAACACACTGCTCTCAACAAACATTACAGATCTCACCCTGCTGGACAATATCACTGGTCTACATGTTCAAAAAAACGGTGGTAATAAGACCACAGATGGTATGCAGATATACAGGAAAAGATTCTTGCAAGGTAAGAAAATCTGCAGGGAAGTACTCCTGCTTACACATGTGGAGGAGCATCTGTTCAAATCATGACATTTATTTACTTACTTATTTTCGGTGGTGTAAATTCTCCAATTATCAATTAATACAGGTGAACTGTGGGAAGGGTTTTGTGCTGCAGTTTAAAATTCTTATTAATTCACATTTTGGCACCCACCTTTGGATTGCTTCTGTTCTCCCAGGCACAGAAGTGAGCCCCTGTACTCTGTAAAAGTAACTGCCATCAGAATGAAACAGAATCTTTCACGATAGTTATTTCTTCATTTTAGATATTTTTAAAAGCTGCTACACAAGCCAATTTCATCAGTGTGATGAGTCTTCCTTCTTGGGACAAGGGTAGCAGATTGGCTTGCTGAGGTATTGAGGTACACTTGAATTGCAAAAGGCCATGCAAGCAGGCAAGTTGATTCATCAGAAAGAAGACAGTGCTCAGCATCCATTCTCCCCAGACCGAGCAGGTTGTAAAATCAAAGCGAGCAATATAGAGATAAACTTGTTTCACTCTCAGAGTCAGTCTGTTCCTTTTGTAGCAGTTAGATCATTGCACATACATAAGATTTTACCTTTCTTGATTTCTTTCTCTTCCTTTTTCTAAAAGCAAGCACACAGAAAATTAGCAGCTGGGTTTTGAGAGTCTTATTTCTCTTGGAGCTTCCAAAGTGTTCAGTAATACCAGTTTATGGTTGAACTATCTAGGGTTACGGTAGTGTTTTACTAGTGAAATATTTCCAAATAGGAAAGGGAAATAGGTAGTCCTGGGGCTGCTGTCTGATTGCAAATGGATAGCCAGACTTCATTTCTAATAACAGCAGTGTGAGTAGTGGCATTGTTTATAGGGCTGGGTTTTTTTCAAAATATCAGGGAATTGCTGGGTCTCAACAGAGATTCATAAGAAAGAAGGATCCCTGAGAAAGAATAGAAGAAGGGCCTGCAGAGCTAATCTAGTAAACCAGGTTGGAGCAGTTATTTAATTTATTCATAATTACTGAGTCTGGAACTGAAGCTAGCTTTCCCAGCTGATATACATTGCACAAACCAGGATGAAGAACACTGAAGTGGAAGAAAATCCAGCTGAACGAATTTCTGCATAGCTTAAGTTTTGGTCATTACTGTGTCAGTCCTGGACTCAGCCTGTACCTTGTACTAGGCCTGGGGAGAAGGGCTATGCCTACACGTACTGTCACACCGCATGCTAGCCATAAATATTTTTCAGTGTTGCAGTGCACTGTGAATCAAAATTCATGTGAAATCTCAGTCAGATTTCTCTTTGGTTTCAGTGGGAGAAGAACCAACCAGTTAGTGATTATAATGTAGGCTGTCCATTTTAAATTAAAAAAACTCATGCTGAATTTTAGTGTCAATCAAAACATGCTTTTCAATAGCTTGAGGTGTCGTTTAATGCACTTTACAGATGATTCTGGGCCAAATTTGCTTGAGTTATTAGAGGCAGCAGATACAAAGGATGTTGTTGTGCTCATGTAGCCAGGAGCTGTCTACTCTGGATGCTCTGTTGGAAAGGAAAAGCTCCAGTGCTGTCCCAAGCCTTCCCTAGGGATCTTTGAGAAATTTTCCTGGGAAAAGAGCAAATCTATCCACGTCTCTCCTCTCAGGACTATGCTCTGGCTGCCTCCTCTGCTGAATTCCCTTGAAGTCAGCATTGTGAGCTTGCTGCAGCTTGGTTCCTAGGAGAGCACTTCTGCTGGTGAGGAAGCAGACTCTAAAGAGTAACCTAAAAATCTCAGATGTTTTATTCATACTGAACTTGCTTTTCAAATCTTGCAAACATCTGTAACTGCAGCTGAGCTTGGCTGGGTGCTCAACTCTTCAGAGATTCAGACCCACTCTTGTTGTGTAATAAAAGATGTGCGACTGTACTGAGTTATTTTCAAGTCAATGTAGCTACTGTTCTGGTTAAGAAAATGCAGACACAGTTACTTGGAGGCCACTGTTGCACTGGTAGATGTACCTCACCTCCTTAATATACGCAGTTGGTTTTTTTTCTCTAACAGGTGGAGAGTACTTTGCAATCAATTATTCTGCGCTTCTTGATGCAAAAGAGATGTGGGATGGCAGGGTCTTGACATTGCCTGCAAAGCTAACTTTCAGGAGTTCATCACAGGTATTTCCTTTACAATTTTATTTTGTTCTTCACAATTTTTATTAAAAAACTCTACAAGGTCGTTCCTGTCTGCCTAAGAAATGAGGCCCGGATTTAATGACATGAGGTTCTTAGGCTCCCTGATTGCTTACCATGAATTTGTAAATACCTAAGCTGTTCTTCATAGCTTAGGAATTCCTAGACTTCCTTATATAGTTGAAGTATGTTTGTGTGTTGTCCTGTAGCTCTTCTCTTTATTTTTTGTATTTCTGTCCAGTTTATCTATGTATTCTGGAAATAATGGAGTGTTTATTTTATGTGTGATTCCTGTAGAGATTGAAAGTTTTTCCATATTTTTATCAGAAAATATTTTTTTTTAATCAAAAAAACAAGCTACAGCACAGAATAACTTGCTGGATATAGAATAACTTGCTGGATAAAGAATAACTGAATGGGTCTAATGCTGGAGTTAGCCCAGCTTTGAGTAGGAGGTAGGACTAAGGGGGCAGGACAAGTAGTTTCTTCCGAAGTAAAATTTTCCAATTCTTAAATATGACTTGATATTTTTTTCTGTGGTTTTCATAATTGCATGTAATTAGAACTTGCAGATATATTTTAATTTCAACTGCTGTGTCTTCTTTGTTTTAGAGGAAAAAATATTAAATGTGCATGAGAATGGTACTAGAGTGGTAGAGAGCAAGACTTGAAAAAAACGGGGAGTCATAAGACTAGAGACATATGCTTCAACTTTGGACATACACACTGACTTTGGCTCATGTTCTGTGCATTTTCAGTCAACCCAGATTTTATAGGCATGGAAAAAAGTAATTCTGGGAGCACTGGAATATGCCTCTGTAATTAGGAGTGTATCCCACAGAGCAGCTGCTTCCATGTCTGTTAATGTTACCCCAAAGTACACTGCGTTTTCCTGTCGGATTTATTTCAGCTTTAAGCCTAATGAGAAGTATATCTTATCTTCTAAGGAAAAGCTTTTCTAGAGACTCTGGGCTGTTTGCCAGTTGATTCTACTAATTTTTTTAATACATGTAATATTTTTATCTTTCTCTCAGAATAAAACACACCTCGTATCATTGACAGCATTGTTCACCATAACTGAAAAAGAAAAGACCAAGGTAAACACTATGATTTGTTCTTATATTGACTCTCCTGCTTAAACTTACGGACAATCTAAACTAAATCCTAGGAGCTAAGGATGTACTTACGTACTTATATCTCATCACTCAGCTAGAACTGCAGTAAGAGAGGCATGGCTTGTTTAGTTATTTTAGTTAGTTTAGTTTTTTTACCTAGTCATCCTTCCAGTATGATTTCCTGTTCTTGGCTTCTGAATTAACATGGTTTCTAAGAGGCCAAATAAACCTTCAAAATTACATTGATAGCAGCAAACAATGTTATTCTTCTAGGTAATTTCCTATTAGAGAACTCCCCACTGCATCCATCAGTTTCATTGCTACAGTGATCTCTTCACCAAACTTGGTTTTGTCCCTCAGCCCTTCATTAACTTGACATGCTGCTGTGTTGCAAGGAGTCTTTTTCTTTAGGAAGCTGTGGCTTGGTTGGCAAGAACACTCTGATTTTTGTGTTCAAGCAGAAAAAAATGGTTTGTTTCACCCCAGAATATTTTTGCCATGGTGATATAATTTGAAATCTAAAGTTCATGTGGATGGGGTTTGCCTTAAGAGGTCCTGAAGACTAGACTTCTCATTTCTTCCATTGGCCTGTCCCATGGGTTTCCTCCACCTTTCAAATCAGTAATCTGTTTGGAGATTTGGCACAGGGGCCTCTTGTTCCAGTATTCTCTTCTGCTGAGGATCTTCTGCCCTCTTAGCTTCTATTAGTGTAATAGATCTGAGTCCATACTTGGCTTTCTCATAATGGAAGATCAGGTACCCATTCTGTTAAAATGAAAGCCAGAATTAAATATGTTATAAAGTAAATCTGTGCATGAGCTAGAGAACTCATTGTTCCTGGATAAAAATCTAGTAAGATTTAAAAGGATTGGACATTTGTATAGCTAAGAATTATGTTTGGAATTACAGTAAATGTATTTTTTGGAAATTCTTCGTCTTAAAAGAATAAGCAGTGCAGTAACTGACTGGGTTAGGAAAATAGATGCATTTCTGTAGAGTTCATTGTGAATTGGTCTGCAGCAGTTGGTGATGTGTAAGCTAAAACTGTAAGCTACATTGGTCTCATCCCACCATGAAAATTCCTGCAATCTATTACTATCCTTAAAACCTTTATAGCAGGTGGGTTTTGGTTTTTTTTTCCAACTTGAACTTGATAGACCTCAACAATCTCTTGGGGACTGTTCCATAGCTGGGTAAGATTGACCCAGCTGCATTTGAACTTATTAAATGAACAGGTTTTATAATTAAGAAGTGTGGTAAAGGTGTGTGGAGAATACTGTTAATTTTTGAAAAATAAAGCTTAGAAATTATGGAACACATCATGTTTCACATGCATAGTATTTGCATTTGGGCTGTGGCCAAACATAAGGTGTTCCCAAATGAAATCAGTTTGTGCAAGGAAATTATGATCAGCTGAAAAAGGTGTGATGTATTGTATTTCGTCCATAGCTTCAGGTGTCATAAATGCTCTCAACCTCAGCTTTTATTCATTAAGAATGATTGTTTAAACCCCTTCAGGGGTGGGGTGAAGCCAACACACATGTGTGTCTAAGTGGATACTAAATGTTGACTTTGGGGACAGAAAAGAGCAGAATTAATTATGTAGTCATGGCAGTGCCATGCTAAGATGGTCCCATCAGCTTTCACATAGTTTGCTTGCACACTCGGCTACTCTGATGTTTGTTAAAGTTTTACAAACCGTGTGGATTTTCTCTTCTGTGTCGCTGGAAGAAAATGCTTGGTTGTCTGTGACAAGGTAGTTTTGTGGGTTATGAAAAAATGCAAGTGTTGCTCTTCTGAGTGTCAGTGGCAGATGTCTTCCCACAGCTCTTCAGGGGCTGTGAGTACTGCTTGCCTCTGCCGTTGGCTGGGTGATTTTGATACTGGGTAGGACGCTGTAGACAAAAAAGGTGAAAATAAGTTCTCCCATCTAAGCATGTTGCATGGGATGGATGATAATAATGACTTTGATCTGATTTTTACCAGGCTTGCTTTCCTCAGCATCAGTGGGAGCACAGCAGTTTTTGAAAGAAACTTGGGCCCGTAATGACTCTTCCCACTATTGAGATGGCTTAAGAAGTTAGCCTAGGGATATGGGTTTTGAGGCTCACTAGTGTGCCAGTGGTTTGAAGGTCGGCCTGCAGCGCCAGCGCTGGTCCTGTGCTGTGGCTTGTGCAGGGGCTCTGGCACCAGCCCTGCACCACCTGCTGTGATGCTTTCAGATGCCATTAGGCACCTGTTGTGTCCTCCTGCTTGGTTTTACAGCCCCCCAGTGACATTGACTGTTGTTCCAGAACCCATTTTCTTTACACAGCCTAGAGAGATCCCTAAATTTCACAGAGTGCTTGGAAATTAAGACAAATGAGGGTGAATTCAGACAAAATGATGAAGTGGTTCCAAATCAGATTTTTTTTTCCTCAGCATTATCTACAGCATCACCTGTTCCTTGAAAATAATGGGACCTTAGGCAGGGCCTTAGTGTGGCAAAGCTCAAAGAGAACACTTCTATGATCCCCTCTTGGCCACAGAGTGGGACTGGAGAAGATGAGGACAGCAGGTTGAGTTGAGAGGAATTGCATTTTTTACAAGTCACACACAGATGCTTGTTGGATCATTGACTGTTCAAGGGGTGATATAAACCCTTTTGATCTGTGAAGGGAGTAAGCGCCAGGTTAGGGAACTGAGGTACTTAATAGTTACATAATCATCTTTCAAGTAAATTTAAAGATGAAGATACTTTGAAGCAAGGTGATGCAGCTTTAACTGATCTTATGGCAGTGAACTGGAGAGCTCAATGTCTTTCTTGTAATGAGGAGCCCAAAACCGAACACAGGATTCGAGGTGTGGTGTCACCAGTGCCGAAATTTATGTGTTGCTTCTCTTTTTTCTTTTCTTTCTTGTTTCCATTTAAAACTTGAAGATACTGGGAGGAACTTGGCACATGCCTGGCTTACTCAGGTGAATACTCAGTCCCAAAACATTTTAGTGAACCTCAAAGTGCTTCAAGGGTTTCATCATTTTAGACTAAGCACATTAAAAAAAAAAAAGACAAAACCCAAACCAAGTATACCTCTGGCAGTCAGAGCCATTGTTGATTCTACATTTACAGTACGGTAAAGTAAACCTTGGACCTTCTTGGAACTGTGCAAGCGTCCAATAGTAGCTTGTATTAATATCTTGATGATCTCCTTGATACTGACATCATTGCCTAATTCAACTGAAATCATGTTGAAATCGATGAGCACTGAGCATCTCCAGTAGCTCTGAGGAGCTGAGCCTGTGAGACAACAAAGTCTGACGTGCAGACGTTCCTTTCAGTTAGACAGATGACAGATCTTCAGTGTAGAAAAAGACATCAGAAAGAGAAAAAACTAGGCAGTAAAAGGATAAAAATCCTTTGTTAAATTGGAATAAATCCTTTTAAAATTGTGGACCATGTTTAATTATCGCTTCTTATGCAGAATTACTGTTGACTCTATGGAATGCTCTCGGGTTTTTGCTCCAAGGGATGACCAGGCCCAGCTCGCAAACAGCGTGTTAATTATTTACGTGTTCTAGTCTCAGCAGAGTGATTAGTTTGTGGTGAAACATTATACTAATAACTGTGCAGTGTTTTTCACCCAAAGGTCTCAAAGAACTAAACAAACACTGAAATAACTTTTGCTACATGGAGCATGAAGTAAATATTAATTTTTAATGCAATTCAATTTAAAGATTAAATTAAAAGCTAAAGAGAAAGGCCTACAAAGTTGTTAGCTGGCTTGTGGTTCCGGTGCTCCCACTATTCTTTTCTGACTCTGGCTCATGCAGAAACTACAAGGATACACACAAATTGTGTGGTTTTGTCAGCTGTCAGTTACATATTTATTCTGAACACATATTGGTGCTTTTTCCCTATCGTGATTACTCAGTTTTACTGAATCAAGAAATAGCCATTAATTAGAGGTAGCCAACATTAGACTGATTTTTGAGAGCCTCTGAGCAACATCAAATGCCAGCAATTTCAACCAGACTTAGGAAAGTTTGGCAACGTTGGAAAACAGGCTGTTAGGGCTGAGACACCCAGAAGTCTCAGCAGCTAAAATTCAGTCTATGGGAGTTCTGTTGCTTTGAGCTACACAGGAATTTGGACTAGGTGAACATAATGAACCATGTTGACTTGAAAACCTATGGAAAATATACAACTATTGAAAATATTAAACCCTGAAGTTGTGTGAAGCCATTTAAGAATATTTTACTATTCTGCTTACAGTTACAATCTTTGAGTTTGATCTTTATATTTATTTAAAATGTAGTTTTAATAATATGTTCTTTTCATTACAGATTTCATACAGCCATGCCATCCATGCTTCAGGGTTCTTCATTGCTTTTTTTGTTTCCCTTGTATTGACATGTGCTGTTTTTCTCATTGTTTACCAAACCCGAATATTAAAATGGAGTCCCTGTAGTAAGAAACAGGTGAGTCATACTGTGTGTAATGGTACTTTATTTAAAATTTTTCATTTATTATATCCAATTATATGATTTTCTAATTAATATGGATTGTCTAAAGAGTTTTTGAAGATAAATAAAAAGCCACCAAGTGATTGGATTCGCAGGTAATGTAATCTCTACAACCTCTAATTTTTAGTGCAATCAGATTTAGAGGGGAGTGTAAGAATGATAATCTGATCAAAAGAACTGCTGTCAGTACCTGAATCTTAGCTTCAAACTGGAGATAGATTACCCTTCGGCTATTAGTTTCTTTTCGTATTCTTCCCTTCCTCCGTTACTCTTTGTCCCTCAAAATGAGAGGCAGGATGTCTGTGGGTTATAAGCAGTTGCCCAGGGAGCAGACCACTCACCTCAAGCACAGTGGACTGGGTCCAAGTTGTATTTCTGATTATCAGGAATTTGAATTTTGGTCTCTCAGTTCCTTGGATGTGCCTTAATCTCTTGAGTGAGGAGGTAAAGAGTTGGGTTTGGGGATGGAGCATTTTCAGTGTTCTTTATCCAAGCTGTGCCAGTTTGGAGAAAGTATTTCAGTACATACTAGGACAGAGAGAGAAAATACAGAGCCTGATAAATATTCATCAAGTTGGCTCAAGTTTCAGCCATTGCTTCTATGAATTATTTAGGTATTTATGTAAAGTGGATCAACTTCAATGGGAGGGAGCTTGAGACCTCAGTCAGAATATTACAGTGATTGGAGCAGTCCTCTAAGAGGGGTGTGCTCAGAGGTTTGAACCCCTTCTCTGCTCAGACAGAACCCCCATCACACTGGGCTGACCAGAGGAGCTCACAAATCACTTTCAGCCTTATGTTCTGTGGTTGAAAGTTACTCCATCAACAATGGAAAAATAGTCCCTTTAATTGAAAAGGGCATGTCTTGTTTCTTTTTACAGACACAGCTGTGATAATGAAATCATTAAAAAGGGCCAGTTTTGTCCTAGCATCAGGTATTTATAATGGGGTCTTTGTATGGTAATTTTATTTGCCCTCAGTCTTAATGGAGTCTCACTGAACTGTGAACTGGGTCATTTCCATCATTCATTGGATTAGTGGTTCATGTTGTTCACCTCATAATACTGTAATCTTGCCATATATAATTTGTATACCATGGTAATTTTTTTAAGATGGTCTAGAAAGTTTATAGTGAAAGATAACCTTCTAGAAGGTTTTCACAAGCCTACTGAAATCAATGTAGAGTCTTCTGTTTTCTCCATTTCATTTCCTCATTTTTATTCTAGATCAGTTATATGCAAAAAAGGTTCAGCCTGAAACAAAAGTAGTGTGTTTGATTTCAGATACATATCTGAACTGCACAATCTTTTTATACCCTTTTCAGCTGTACAGTTTGATAAGGGGGAACCTTCTCATCCAAAGTTATCAGCAATAAAATGAGATCAGATGCTCAGTGTATTTTTTCTTTTTATTTTTTTTTTTTAGGAGGTAGAGAATGAACTCAGCCAAAATCTCAAACTGGAGCATTCTCAGTTTAATTCAGGTGATCTCTTCAGTGAAGATATAATTACAAACAACCAAATCATCGATATTCTGTCCTTTGAAGAATCTGGGAACATGCTTCAGGCTTTAGAAGAGTAAGAATTCACTGCTATTACATCACATTTATTACATTTATCATCAACTGAACCTTTGAATATGTTTTGAGTATCTGCCCTTTAATTTATTTTCATAAAGGCTGTTTACACATATGACTGCACTATCTTAGGTTTGTGAACTATATTAAATAGCCATCTGGGGAACTCAAAATTGCCGTATTTCATATTGCTTCACCTTACAGAAGTCACAGCTCCATCTAGGCCTTAGGCATGCAAGTTTTCCAAACCAAATCAACATCTAGGTTTTCCTCTCTGTGATTCACGAAGTCAAGGGAAGCTTTTCTGTGTACAATAAAATGTTGAGAGAGTGTATTCTACTATTGCTGAATGCATTCTGCTCACAAAAGGGTGGCTTTTGTCCTAGAAAAGAGAGACCCTGCTGGGCGCCAGCACTGCTGTTTAGCAGCGTATTTTGGCAACACCTGGATCAGAGTCTAAGGAGTGACAACTCATAGTGCTTCCACAGTCAGAGGAACCACTCGGTAGAGCAGAGAGTTTCCACATGTTGTTGAAAGGCCAGTCAGGGCTGTTTGACAGAAACATGCCTCCGTTAAAGGTCATCTGTTCTTCAGCTGAATTTGATAAAAAGGTCTGATCCGAGGACAGAACGGATTTTGTTTGTTCAGTCTCACCATTGGCTCCTGGCAAGGCAGGTTACAGGCAGTATTATGCAACTATAAAATCTGTAGAAGCTGAAAAGGAAAAGTTACAGGGCCATGGAGTTAATTTTCTTTTTTAAAGAGTAACTAACAGCATTATTATTTTCTGCATTTCCTTGATAACTGGGATACTTATCTCTGTAATTTGCACATTGGTCCTTGCTTTTATATCTATATAGCAACTCAGGCTTTGAGAAGATTTATCCTGAAAATCATTATGTAAATATTAAGAAGAACAGGATCAAACATTTTTAACTTTAGTATTGATTTTTTTCAGGGATAGTGAATATCTAGCTAGTTTGAAGGAAAAAAAAAAAGGCCTGGACTATTTTCCGATAGGTTATGGTAAATGTTCTTGCAAACCTTTGGATGTGATTATTTTCATAACTGGATTATTTCTAAACCCATAAAACAGGATCCATTTCTTAGTTTGAGTATGTATCCAGGGGTTAAAGTTTTTAAATATTCTTATGCAGTTAACAAAACTGTCTCTCTTGCTTCCGCTTCTTTCCTCACAGTTTCTGTTTTCTCTGCCTCTAAGGAGGTAGAGCATTGCAGTGAATAAAATAGATGCCCATTAGCAAACAGTCACTAACCTTCTTCAGCTTCTGAGCTATCTTTTCCTTCTTCCAGGATGAGGATAGTAGATGGACCACAAAGGTATCCAGAGTTACAGTAGTTCCTGCTAAGAACGATGATTGAAAGAGTGAGAGACATTACTGTCAAGGGCTCAGATCAGACTCTCACTGTTAGCAATGAGTGCTTCCTAATCTCTGTTTAGATTATCCCAATTCTTCTCATTTCTTGTAGTTTTAAACGGGACCTTCTGATTCATTTACTGTTAGGAGGTGACACACAGATGCACTTAGCATACTTTTTTCCATTTTTCCATCTTTTTATTGGCACTCATTGAATATGTGTATTAATTACTACATACCTGTTCCTGTTCTGTCTTACTGATGGTGCACTTTATCTGACTGAATGAGGATCTCTGCAGTGTGAACTCCTACAAGTTGCCCTGAGATCCCCTTTATACTCAGGGGTGAAAAAGGGCACTTCGAGGGTATGATTATTCTCAACCTAAAGTAGACTGTCAAAAAATGAGTCTCATGGCTGCTGCCATATGACCCTAAAGCCTGGAGCCGGGGCTGATTAGCTCAGCTATAGGGATCTGGAGGTGGGTGAGATGAATTCCAGACATGCAGGGTGGTTGGTCAGAAAGGGTACAGCATTACTATATTTGATACATGCAATATTGCTTCTGCTTTCTTCAGTAGCTCTAAAACACCCCTTGTTTTATCTCTCATTGTTGACATGTTGCTGTTTATCTTAGAATGCTTCTTTACATAATGTTGGTTCCTTACTCATTCTGCAAGTTTGGGCAAAGCTGTCCTTTAATTTCTGATTTATATTCCTTAAAGGTTTAATTTTAGTCTTGTACTTCATAAACAGTTGTACATTATCCAGGTTTTCAGCTGAAATCAAAGACAAAAGTAAAATACTGTTGCCGTAAGAGCTTCTGTGACAGGGATCTAGACTAAAATGAGGATGGAGCAATTCTTTTTACTGAATTATGTGCTTTAAGGATAGTGATTTGTACAACGTAATGGGAAAAAAAAAGATGGTGCATTTGTATTTATTAATGGATTAGTGCAGTCAATTTGAATGGATTCTGTGCTCATATGAAATTCAGTTTTACTAATTGTGGTCACAATCAGTTTTTCAACAGTGTTGCCTTTTGGTTTATTATGTTTAGTGTCACCCAGTGGAATAGTTCGGTTTTCTGTAAGAAACTGAGTAATGAGGTTTCTATTGTCTGATAGGATTGGAAATATACTGAGGATAAGTACTGGGCTTGTATTTAGAGCACAATTTTTCATGTCATATGTATGCCGATAAGAATTTTAGCATCATAGTCCTGGTTTTTATTACATGGTGAGGCAAAAGTATAGGGGCTTTTGTTAGAGAGCTTTTGATTCTTTAGATATTTTCAACCAATCAACATCTTGCTTGTATGCTAGTTTGATAGTTCCTTCTGCACGTATTGATATCATTTGCTCTACATGCCGTAAGTATAAGCTTGCCAACATAATTGATACATTATTTTTAAATTGCACTGTAATAGTAAACATGGTTGGAATAATTCTGGAGCTTTGTTCTTTTGTCCAGATGCAAATGAGAGAATTACTCAGAAAAGTGAGAGCCACAGGATATTTTGTCCTCTTTACAACGTCAAGCTATGTTAATTGTTAATATCTTTTACGAAGTGACAGTGCCAAATTGTTTAGCAGATACATTAGGAGCATGTGTTCAATATTTATGGACAGGGACATCTTTGGAGGGTAGACAGTTTGGAATGTCAGGAGGATTGGCTAGAGAACAAAACATACTTTTAATATTTCATGTGGAAGCTGTTTAGTTACCCATTTTGTGAGTTTTGTCTTAATAAATCATATTCTTTATGTACATTATGCAGCAAAATAGCTTCGCTTCTATTCTCGGAAGGTTCCTTACTGTGTATATTCCTGAATATTGGCTCACCGACAGTGAATGCTAATGAGAAGAAGTTGTATGATTTGAATATTTGACGTGCGCGTTAGAAGATCGTGTTCCAAAATGTTGTGGGTCTCTTTTTTTGTATGTCTGGAACAGAATGTGAAGAGCTGAGCAGTGTGGGGTTATGTCCAATGGGATGAATTCTGACAGTGCTCATAGTCTCAGAAGACACAGATAATGTTCAAGGCAACTTAATTTCTTTAAATGGCTTTCCACTACTACAACTTTTCTTTTTCATCTTCATTTTGTACAGCTATGCTTCCTTGAGTTTGTCAAAGCTCTAGCTGAACTTGAACCTGCTTGCTGATACACAATACATACTGCCAATTATTTTGGGAAATCACTAAGTAATATGTATGCATTGCAGCTGATTTTTTTCTTATGGTAGAGGGCATTGAGGCCAATGTACTAGAGAACAGGATCAAACTGTCTCCAGAGAGCCTTGACAGAAAAGTCAAAAACAATTTACTACCATATTAGAAGTTCACTTTTTCTTTCTAAATGTAAATTTCTTGCTGTACATCTCAATTTAATTTGCTGTGGAGCAAATGTGGGTTTTTTTTAACCCTGAATTCAGATGGAAAGGAAGAATAAAAGAATACATTGTCACAGCAGCTAGGCTTGAATATTGTTACACAGAAAATGATGAGTAGTAGTTACATTGTTAATACAAAAAAAAAAAAGAGCAGTATTTCTGTATTTCATAAACTTTTAAAAAGTGTAATCGAAATTTTAGAATTTTTGAAGAGGGGGCATATTCATTCCTGGTTTTGTGCAATGTGTACAATGCAGGAATACAACAATAAATAATAATCACATGGATATAACAGTAAGGTATAGTGAATACGCATGGAATGAACACCAAATCCTGCATTTGTAGTTCTCTATTATGAATGCTGTTATAAATTTGACAAGTGTGTAAACCTTATGATTTTTTCCATCAAATCCTTAATAGGTGATAGGAGGGAGCTGAAGAAAACAAGTAATTTCAAATTAAGGAATATGTATCTTTTTTCATCTAAAAAATGCACTTTTTTGCTGTTGGCTGACTATGAAGAAATTGTGTTCAGAATTATATGGGTCATTTCTGCTGTCCACACAGGATAATTTACCTCATTGAGAAGACAGTCTGATTTTGAGAGTAGTGCTGTTAGCGATGCTTTATTCCATGTAATTTTGAAAGAGGACAGGTATCTCCTACTGTTTCTGTCATCTAAATACTCACCCCGTCTGAGTAGATCAGAAGAATCAAAGTAGATCACAGCGAAGTTGGAAGCTCCTCAGGCATCAATGAATAATGCATATAGCCGTAATATTTATTTAGGCTTTTGTTAGTATCCAGGCTGAAGTCGGTGCTTTTAAAATCAATAGCAAAATGTGTGATGACTTACTGGAAGCAGGACTGGAGTATTTTTAAAGTTTTTTTTCATAGTGTTTTTTCAGTGAAATACCATTTTCTGAGCTCTGTATCAACATCTGTATTGTAGCTGTTGGTATCAACAGCTGTATTGTAGCTAGCTGTATGTTTTGAATTGGTCTGAGGAAGGTCATTGGTTTATCAGTTTTCATACTTTCTTCAGTCAAAGAAGAAAGTATTAATGCAGGATTTTTCAAGTGTTTTTTAAATGGGTTAATGTAAGAATTGAAAACCTTTACTGTCTTTATATTGCTGTGGAGAGTTAAAGGAATTTGATGGTGAAAGTGCTGCCAAATCTAATGGTTAGATTTTTGGCAGATTTTCATGAATCATTTTCATTTCTGAAG